GAATCAATGCCTCTGTTTTGAACAGTCAACAAGTCAGGCAACAAAAATAGCCTCAAAACCAGGCCATAATACAGCTACAGTGTGTGGACACAAACATTCCACGCTGGAATGGAGGGCAAGAACTGTTTAAAGCGCATTAACTTTCCTACACTACAGCCAGTAACAGATGCATGGGTCCCTATAATAACACGTGCAGCGCCAATTCTGAAATAATTCAGAACATTTTCTAAGATTGCAAGGTGTTGATAAGGGTTAATGCTAATCTGCAGCCAACTTACATAACTTCAATAATTTACTAACCTTTTTACAAGAGCACTTCAGAATATTTAACTATGTAACATGACCACATGTAGAAGCAGTATGCACTTAGCCAGTATATTTTATACATAAACATGCAATCACATGATGCTGAAACACTATAATTTTTAAACTTTTCACATTCTTTTGAAATATCTAAACCTCTGTAATTTTGTTTGCAACTTAACAAGCACCTTGGCAATCAGAATCTGAGATTTTAGTTTTTTTTTTTCCTCAGTTGCATGGTTTGATTCTTGCGTCACGAACAGTCTGATTTATAATTCGCTTCGCTCGCCCTTTCACTTGCAGGTCTTTCGACACTGAGCCCTTGCTAAAGTGTCTGACGGGTTATCTCTTTCTTTTCATGAACAGCCACACTGCCTATGTCTTGTGAGGTTGCCATGGATACTGGCTTAGTGACTGCTCCTAACAGGGCTGTGGAGTTCCCTTGTTGCTCAGCAAGTGTCTTTGCATTGTCCCCTGCCTTCCGTCTTTCTGCTGCTGCTGGCACCGCAGGGATGGCCATCTTCACGGGCCCAAGTACACTCTTTGCCACAGAGGCCAAATGGTTGACAAAACCCTGTTTGTCTGAGCACGACGACACCACCGCTGAGGATCCTTGCCCAGCTCCGCATGGTGTAGGGGTGGGTGGCTTCTTTATTTTAGTCTCCGGAGCCCCTTTACTCTCTACAGATGCCTCACACGCTTCTTTGTAACAATTAACTGGGGCACTTTTATCTATAGCATCGGGTCTTTTGGCTGGTTTCAGGAGGCTTTCCTGAAGCAAAATCTCATCACTGCAGACTTTCTTCTCCTCAATCTTGCATGGCTGTTCAATGTTATCTTTGGTCTCACAAGCCATGCTCTTCTTGTGGGCATCTTTTCCATCAAAAAGAGGCTTTGCAGCCTCCAGCTTGGCAGGAATTTCCACTGCTTTGCCCTTCTCCTCATAGCCTGGCTGGGAACTGGCTGCTGGAGATACATCTTTTGGCTCTGACCTCTGAGTTGGCAACGTCAAGGTGTTGTAGTCTGGCATTAGTTTGCAGGCACCATCCTGGTTCTGGGAGCCAGGTCCTAATGGTTCGGTTTGCACTCCTTGGTGTCTCCTGTTCGCGGGATCAATGGACCGTGTCTTCCTGGGTTCCTTGGAGTGATTTTTCTCTGGAGGTTCTGAGATGCAGTTTATTTGGACTGGCTGTGTAACATTGACATTAAGGCTGGTCTGTACTGGTGCTGGAGACATTTTCAATTCGGAAGGCGTTGGCAAAGTGTCAGGTCTGGAGATTTGTGATAATCCAGAACACTTGTCCATGCGTGTTGTTGAAGCAGAGGGAGAAGAGGCACCATTCTTTCCTCTCATGGTACCAAATGGTGCGTCCTTATCTAAGTTTTGATCTGACTTTTTGGCTGCTCCTGTGTCAGAAGATGGATCAGAAATCTGGGCCTTTGAAGCTGCAGTCTTTCCACTGGTTTCCTTTAGTGATGAAGAAGAAGAACCACTACTTCCCTGCACTTCAGCCAAATGTTTGGTCATGTCCTTAATAACACTGGAGCCACTCTGACAGTTAAATGTGGAACAGGTTCTTGTTACACCTTCATGATCCACATTGACCCCTCCGACTGGAATCTCATCATGATCATTGATTTTAACCTCTAGTTCCTGCACTGGGTCAAGTCCTTCCCCCCTTTCCTGCCTGATTGTCGAGAATATGTCTCTATCAATCAGTGGAGACTCCTGTCTGCCCAGCTTCCTTACAGCCATCTGTCGGAAAGGCCCCACCTCACTGCTGTCACTCTTTGATCCCAGGACTTCTCCCTCTGATTCCATCAGACTCTGCAGACTGGTATCAGAATGCAGGCCTTCCTTCCGGAACTCAGAGTGGGAGGCCTCGAGGCTGTGCTTTCGGATTGCGAGCTTCTTCTCAGAAGAGAGCGGGATGGACAGCTTCTCCGCTGACTGCACTCTCTTGAGGAGAGGGGACCTGGGGGGCTCCGCACTCTTTGGCCGCGGTCTCACCACCGGGGGCGACGAGTGTAACTTGATGTGGAAGGTCTGGGTGGTGTTGGAGCTGCCGACCGTGTGGGCGGGCAGCGGAAATGAAGGGTGTTGAGGGGACGGGTGGGTAGGTGACGGAGTGTGAGCGAGAGGGGACAGCGGGATGTTCCCAGCTGACTTGCACCGTGCTGATCTGTATTGGCGTTGGAGCTTTGGGGACAAGCCGTGAAGGCTGCTGGGCCGGATGTGGTGCGGGGTGGCCGGGGAATTTGGTACACTCGAGCCTGGGGAGCTACTCTGAGACGAGTTTCCCCCTCCACCTGTAGGGAAGACAAGAAAATGTATTAAACTCTGAATATGGACGCGCACATTTGAAATGAATTGATTCTTACCACAGCTTAAGGAAAAAGTACATTAATGCATTAGCGAGAAAATAAATAAAAAAAGAAATGAGAGGGTGAGATAAAATGGTAGGGGGTGGCTCATATGGAGCATAAACCCCAGTATAGACCAGTTGGGCCGAATAGCCTGTTGCAGTTCCCACAATATATTTAGATTGTAAGGGTTACAGGGGGAATGGCAGCGGATTTTCAGTTTCCCCCAACTCCCCACCAGATAATCAGACTCCTAATGAGGAATGCCACAGAAAACCAGCGAAAGACCTCTTCAATACACAAGACCTTAAGCTGTGGGTTCTAAAAACCGTGCAAAAATGGAAAATAGTTGTGTAGCTTCTTTTCTCAACTTAGAGAGAAAGAAATTTCATTGCACCATCACCCACTTGAGCAGAATCAGCTATATCGAGCAGTAAATACCTAAATAGCCAGAGTCTGGCGTTGGTCTGTAGCTCTGCGTAGGCGAGCGAGCGGAGAGACTATGTGTGGGCGAGCCAGGTAAACTGTCGCTGGATGACAGTGAACGGTTCAAGGACGAGAGACTGCGGCTTGTGTGCAGCAGGTTAGACTGTTTGGTTATCTTTCGAAACAAAGAGCTTCGCTTCTTACCACTGGAGTAGAGGGGGGAGAAAGAAAGAGAGTTTGAATCATCCAAAATTAGTTGGTGTGCCATTAATCCCACAAATAACCCTCCCACAAAATTGCAGTGTGCAGCAGTCAACAGTGACAACAGGTAAAAGCAGGATTACGAGGGGTAGGCAGCATATTCATCATTCTGCTCCTTACACTTTGACCCTTTGAGAGCACATCACAAAGAATGAGAGTAAATTGTTTAAGGAAATGCAACTCAGCATTACTGCTTATCAGGTTAATTCATTATTTGTGAAGCACTTTGAAATATTTATAATGTCATAGGGTGCTACTGTAATGGAAGTTTTCCCCTTTATTGAATTTCAGGTTCTGATTTGATCAAGAATAATGTAATAACACTTCAAAAACATGGAAAGTCAGCTAGTGTCCTCTTCGATTAATGGACAAAACAGCAATGGGTTTTAAATGCTCTCAAAATGAAAACTGTTTTGTACATTCCTTCTCATCTTAAAGAAAAGCAACTGAAATTCTCAATTTATTTCACTCTAAGTGCATTAGTATTGAGGTACACTCTTAAGACTGTCCTAATGTGTGTGATGGACAGGAATCGAACGTTCCAAAACCAATTTGCATCCTTACCCCTCCTGTCCTTCCTTTCCTGTGCTTTTCTTATTCCTCCTTGCCATTTTGGCTTTGTAGCTGGATCTCCGGGCTGGACCAATCTTGATGGAAGTGTTCTCAAATGGTGTTGTGGTTACAGTCACTTTGCTTCCACTCTGAAACGAGAACAGGGCAAATTCAAAGCGAGAACTGATGCTTCAGTGCTAAATCTCTTAGACAACTCTTCAAACTTATTGTTAGCAGTTGGACAAAGAAGAAACAAAGAAAAAAGTTGAAATTCCACATCCCCTCCCCCGTGTTCTGAAGTTTTTCAATAGGATTGGAGAAGGGGGGAACACATGTTTGGTTTCAAAGGCAAAATTGACAGCTGGCCAGTCGGGCAAGACTATGATAGTTTTCCCAACCCAGTGAAATGGTATCATCCAGTACAGTGTGGCAGAGTTACCTGAGCCCAAATAGAATCATTGAATCCCTACTATGTGGAAACAGGCCATTAGACCCATCGAATCCACACCGACCCTCTGAACAGCATCACACCCAGACCCAGTCCCTCTACCCTATCCCTGTAACCCTGTATTTCCCATGGCTAATCCACTTACCCTACATATCCCTGGACACTATGGGCAATTTAGCATGGCCAATCCACCTACCCTGCACATCATTGGACTGTGGGAGGAAACTGGAGTATCCGGAAGAAAACCGCACAGGGAGTATTTGCAAACTTCACATGGACAGTAACCCAAGGGTGGAATTGAACCCAGGTCCCTGTGAAGCAACAGCGCTAATCACTGTGCCACTGTGCCAAAGTAAGCAACATATTATGTTAACTAAGGTATAATTGGGTGAACATTTGACTGGGTGCAGCTCTTGCTGTGCAGTGGTAGTGTCCCTAATTCTAGGCCAGGAGACCTGGGTTCAAGTCCTACCTGCTCCAGAGGTGTGTAATAACATCCCTAAACAGATTGATTTAAAGACATACATGGGGAAGAATTAATCCATGCCATTTTGTGATGTGTAAATTGAAATAAAACGGACTAGTAATGTACTCTGTCTAACTAACTTGTAACCTTCATGTTTAATATGAAATTATCCAGACCACTGCCAATGTAAGTGTCCTTAATGGGGCTTTCCAGGGCAACGCTGAGACTCACTCCCTTTCACATGGCAGAGATCAGAAAACTCAGCGTGTGGGAAATCAAGGATGTAAGCCCACATCCTATAATTTGCAGCATGCCTATGAAGGCATGCGTATCACTCAAAGACATTGGAACAGATTCAGGGCCCAAGACAGCAGCCTGGACTAAAGTTCGCTTGGCTTTGCAGCGTGATAAACTCAGTAAAAATTAACCTAATTTTTTAGAGCAAGGTCTTACATTCTGCATATTTACTTAAAGCAACCTGTCTTTAAATGGAGGAGATTGTGGACCCAGCAAGCACTCAAAGACTGTTGAACTTTTAACTTTTGAACTTTCTTTTTTGCTGTTTATATTAAGAAGGACTTTAATGTTAACTATTACGTTATTTTTCTACTTATTCTATAAAGGTCTGTAATGCTTGACTTTTTAACTTTGTTTCTTTTACTACTGATTATACCTGAGTTTTTTTGTACCTCGGTACCTTCTTACCTAAGAAGACACTGTGTGTGGCAACATTAGACACTTTCACTGTATTGCTGTCCTTGAGTGCACATGACAATTAAAACTAAATCTAAACCTAAATCTTTAACTTGTGTCCTTAACACGCTAAAACTTTCCAAGACATTTCAGAAAGAGCAGTACCAAGTAAAATTTGATACTGAGCCATGTAAGGAGTTATTAGGGCAGTTAAGGACACCTAACATTGTGTCAGATTTTAAGGAGATTCTGAAAGGAGAAAAGAAAGGTTGATGGGTGAAAAGATTTCGAAAGAGAATTCTGCAGCTAGAATCCCAAGCAACTGAAGATACAGTTATCAATGGTAAAGCAGCTAAAATCTATGAGGGTTGTAGGGTTGGGGGAGGTTACAGAGATAGTGAAAGTGGATGGATTTGAAAACACAGATGAAAATTTTAAATGAAGATCTTACTCCATTAACTCTTCCCTTTACTTGAATGCAACCTTGAGTGAGGTTGTCCAACCCTAGAAGGGCCAAAAGCTATACGACTATACATATTATGATTAGGATTCATCTCACACAGAGACCCCAGCTGTTAAGACAGAAGAAGGTTTTCCCCATCAAATTGGAATGCATTGAAACCCAAGAGGAATCTACTGGATAACTCTGACATCCATGAATTGAATGCAGCAAAGGGATTGAAGTGGCATGATGGCACAGTGGTTAATCCTGCTGCCTCACAACGCCAGGGAGTGAGGTTCAATTCCAGCTTTTGGTGACTGTCTGTGTGGAGTTTGCACATTCTCCCTGTGTCTGCGTGGGTTTCCTCCGGGTGCTCCGGTTTCCTCCCACAGTCCAAAAATGTGCAGGTTAGACGGACTGGCCATGGTAAATTGCTTGTAGTGTCCAGGGATAAGGAGGCTAGGTGGGTTAGCCAAGGTAAATATGGGGTAACAGGATGATATGCTTTTCGAAGGGTTGGTGCAGACTTGATCAGCTGAATGGCCTGTATCTGCACTGTGGGGATTCTATGAGAACTAACTGTAAAACAGATATGTATGTTACATAGAATGTACAGAATAGAAACTGGCCCTTTGGACCAAACCTGCCTGTGCGCCACACAAGTCCATCCTAATTCATCAATATGTCCTTTTATTCCTTCTCCATCCTTCACTATCTTTCACTTAAACATCAGTTCCTGCCTACATTATAGAGAAAAGCAGTCCCCGACTATATTATAGACAACAGGAGTCCTTGTCTATATCACAGAGAACAATAGTTCCTGCCTATACCATGGAGAAGTGCAGATACAGTCATATATATCATACAGAACAACAGTCACTGTCTATTTTGTCGAGAATAGCAGCCTCTGTCTATATTCCAGTGAATGGCGTCGCTATGTGTATCATAGAAAACAGCAGTCCCTGTCTTTCTCATAGAGAATGGCAGTCCCTGTCTATATCATAGAGAACAGCAGTCCCTGAATATATCATAGAGAACAGGAAACCCTGACTCTATGGTGGTGGGGAAGTTATTAGAAAGATTTCTGAGGGACAGCATATATCTATATTTGGTAAGACATGGATTAATCCAGGATAGTCAGCATGGATTTGTTAAGGGAAAGTCATGTTGGATAAATTTGATTACATTTTTTAAGTAAATAACGAGGAGTTGTGATGAGGATAATGCATTTGATGGGATCTATATGGACTTCAGCAAGGCTTTTGATATGTCAGACTTCAAGAAATTAAGAACTCATGGGATCCAAGGAATTGTGGCATAATCATTCAAAAAAATTACTGAGAAGCAGGGAGTAGAGGGATGTTTCTGTAACGGTATCTGTTTCAGTGGGTTTGTCAGGACTCAGAACTGTGGCCCTTGTTATTTGTGGTGTGCATTAATGATTTGGACTTAAATGTAATGGGTCTGATCAATAGGCTCATGAATGACACAGAGAATAGTGTAAACTGCATGAGGATATCAACCACTGGTCAGCTGGGCAGTGCAGTGGCAAATGGAATTCAACACAGAAAAATGTCAGGCAATACATTTGGGAGGGCTAACATGGCAAGGGATTACACTCTGAATAGCAGGACCCTGGACAATACTCAGAAGGTCAGAGGGACCTTGATGCACATATCCGTAGATCCCTGCAGGGTGTCTGCTGACTGGCATGGACATAATATGCTGCATGGCCTTCTTCTGTGCAGTAAACATCTATAAAGAGGATATAAAAGATCGCATGGCACTTTTCTGAAGAAGAGCAGGGAGTAACTTCTTGTGTCCCAGATGATTTTTATCCCTCAATCTACATCGAGAAAGCTGGTTACCTGGCCAATATAACATTGCTGTTTATATTTCAAAAGTACTTCATTGACTGTAAATTGCTTTGGGATTTCCTGAGGTTGTTATATTAATGCAAGCTTTTTTGTTTCTCTCTCTATTTAAGACCTCAAGTTTTGGTCTCCTCTCACAAGTGGAAACATGACATCTACCCTACTGAACCTTTCCAACACTCCTGTTAAAACAGATTAATAGACCAAATGGAGAGTTTATAAAATCGTGCAGGGTCTGGATAGAGTAAATAGACAAGGTCTTTTCCCCAGGGTGGAGAGTCCAAAACTAGAGGCAAAGGCATAAGGTGAAAAGGGAAAGATTTAAAAGGGACCTAAGGGGCAACTTTTTCATGCAGAGGGTGGTGCATATATGGAATGAGCTGCCAGAGGAAGTGGTGGAGGCTGGTACAATTACAACATTTAAAAGCCACTGGATGAGTATATGAATAGGAAGGGTTTAAAGGGATATGGGCCAAATGCTGGCAAATGGGACCGGATTTATCTAGGATATCTGATCAGCATGGACAATTGGACTGAAGGGTCTGTTTCCGTGCTGTACACCTCCATGAGTCTATGACTCTGAGTGACCAAATAATGGTTTCTGCGTGAAACACACACTCACACACACAAACACACAGACACACACCTCCCATAACCCTCGGCTCCCTTGTCAATCACAAATCTGTCTAACTCAACTTTGAATTGTTAAGTGGGAGAATTCCAAACATTAAAACTGACATGTAGAGAGATAAACGTCCTCTTCAACCCCATCTTATCTGGGAAATCCATCGTTTGCTGACGGTGCCCTAGTTCAAGATTCCATAATGAGAGGAAGCATCGTCTCAATATTTACCCACCAGAATTGTCCTATCAAAATCTCCCATGAAAACCCTATTTGTCCCCTCAGAATCCATTTCAGTAAGGCCACCTTGCATTCTTCTAAACTCCAAGGAATATAGGCCCAACCTGCTCAATCTTTTCTTGTGATTAGAATGATCCTGACAAAGTTACATAGATATTAACTGTTGTGTATTGTCACAGCAACTTACCTTCAGAATAAGTTCCACAACTTCGGTGTGGACGAGTCCATGGACAGGTTCCCCATTGACGTGAGTAATAAGGTCACCTGCACAAAGTCCAGCTTCATGGGAAGGTCCTCCATCTTCTACATGCTGCAACGTGGAGAAGGGATGGTTAAAATTTCACACCACTCACAGACAGTACACAGCAACTCATTGAACTGCTTTGCTTTTCTGTTTCAGTTTTTGAGGGTGTTTAATGAATGGGTGAGTGGGATTCATTGTTCAATTAGTTCCATTGTCCTGCCCTTCATCACAGCCCTGCAGTTCTGAAGTTGAAAATGGGAACTGCATTCGAACCGAGTCCTTCCCATTTCATCCACCTCATTTCAACCTTTCAGCAAGTCTTTCTATCCCTTTTTCTCTCACCTGCTTATCCAGTTAACCATAGGCTTGTAGTGCTGTGGGTAGCATCCATGCCTCTGAGCCAGAAACTCCAGATGCAAGTCCCACTTCAGGCCTTTAGAACCAAGGAAGCTGCATTTGTAATGAGCCAAACAGGCTGCGTACTAAGCTGCAAATCCTTCCAACATACACTAATGGCAGGTGGTAAGAGTGGAAGAGATTCCTAGAACCTATCTACCATCACTATCCATAGATCCAGGCTGTAATAGGTCTGTAAAAGTACAGGTAGCTGCAGCAATTCAAATCCTCCGAGTGAAATATACCACCTGATCAGTTTCCTCTTGAAATTATCTTGCCTCAACTAATCCCTGCAACTGGAATGGACTGGTGATGGCAAACGCTGGTGTCTCTTAGCCTGCCCAATGGGACTTACCCAGACCATGTGTTGGACACTGTACACATCACTGTCTCCCATGTAAACACGGATGGCACGAAGCGTGAAGCCATACTTCTTTCCTGAGCGATGGATGGTGATCGGGGACCTGAGACTCGTCACTGCTGGTGAGAAGTCACGGCTTGGTGAGGAGTCCCGCGATGAAGGATTAGATGACAGTGATCGTGGTGACATAGGGCTGGCAAGAGGTGAACTGCTGTGTTGCTCTACTGGAGACACAAAGGAGAGGCAGAGTTAGATTGACTGATGGGCATAAACCAGCTGTGCTAATAGTGGGCATGTCTCTGGAATACCCTCACAAATGTGAGCCAAACGGCAGGCTGGATTAACCAGGCCTGATTTCAACAGCAACAACGTGCATTTATAACACTTCGCTTAACGAAACACCCACAAGGCACATCACAGGAAAGTTAATGCAGAAGCTGAAAACTGGAAAATGGACGAGGGAACCACTCCACTGTTTTCTGATGCCACCACATTTGACATTTCTGTAAGTCTGAACAGTTGGCAGGCTATTCAACTGTGGAAGCCATCACACCTAAGTGCTCCAAAATCCACTTTATACTCATATCAGAGGTCGGTCAATGGCAAGCTGTAGGAGGGAACTCACCCTGTTGTTAACCCAAAGGCAGGAACTTCAATTGTAATGCCTTTGCAATGCACAGATTAGCTACATCCTTGTGGATAATTTAACCTCACCAGATTTTCAGGAAACACAGGAGTAAGTTTCATATTTGACCTAATATTATTCTATATAAATTTCTCAGGAAAAGTCACAGCATTAAACTAAAGTTTAAATAATGAATTAAGCACTTTCTGATTGGTATCCAACTATTTAAAGCACATGAAATCTGAAACAGCGACTTATCCCATCTCATGATAGCCCTTATATAACCCAGAAAGTTTGCCCAGGCTTAGAAAGATTCTTAATACATTGTGAAGACTTCATAGACCTTGTGTCATAGTGGGGTAATGCTTAGCTTTTTTCTTCCCAAACTTCTTCAGGGGATACGGACATCAGATTTGTTGCCCATCCCCTAAATTCTACAACTGAGTAGCTGGCTTAGCCATTTCAGAGGGCTGTTAAGTGTCAACAACATTGCTGTGTGTCTGGAATCACATGTGAGCCAGACCAGATAAGCATGGCAGATTTCCTTTCTTAAAGTGAACCAGATGGGTTTTTAAACACCAATTTCATGGTCACCATTCCAGAAATCAAATTAATGAATTGAACTCAAGTTCTACCAGCTGCCAAGGTGGGATTTCAACCTATGACCCCAACGGCAGTTAACCTGGTCCTTGAGATTACTTGCCCAGCGATATTACCAATGTGCCGCTATGTCCCCACACCATACCTGCAGGGATCATGACCGAGAGCGCAGTGGCCGAAGCGGATTTGATGACTTTGTTGACGGGCCGAGAGGTGCGCTTCTCAGCTGAGTCCCCAGACAGTTGCTGGTGTCGTGCTCTGCGGACTGCCAGGTCACTTGTTGCCTTTGTGGACGAGGAATCCGTTTCCTTCGAAACAGTGCACAGCGACTCACTTAACTTCACTGGCCTGCCAGCTGAAATAAAACTGAGAACATTTAGCGAGAAGGCACTTAAGGATTAATTGACATCATAATGTTCCTGTTTCCTACAAGAGTCCTTGACTGACCACTGTCAGTGTCAACCTTCATTGATACAGATCAGCAGCATTGATAGGATTGACCTGGTTTTTCTGACCTTGGCTTGGAGACATAGAAAATAAGAGCAAGCGTAGGCCGTTCGACCCATCAAGCCTACCCCACCCTTCACTATGATCTTGGCTGAAGATATGGCTGGGATGCCAAATTCTTGATTTAGTGTCAGGCTGTAGATAGTCAGCTGAACTAGATTCGATGATGTTCTTGCTCCATCTCCTCTAGCGAAGGAAGGAAATAAATGTCATGAGGAAGGCAAGAAAGATTTTAAGGGAGAGTGCACTGCTGTATCCAAGACCTGGCATGGAGGGTGGGTGGGGGGCTGGGGATTAGCTGAAATAAGCAGTCTGATCTTTTGCACACAGACAGTTGCCTGAAGGTGGAATCAAACCCAGGTCCCTGACACGGTGAGGCCACTGTGCTAGCCATTGAGCCACTGTACCGCCCGAAAGATAGAGATCTTTAAACCATCAATAAGATTTAGTAAAGTAGACGTAGAGAAGATGTTTCCACTTGAGAGGAATAGGGAGTTAAAAAGTTCATTGCCCTTAATATAAGAAAACAAATCCATATGGGAATTCGGGAGGAAAATCCAGGAATGGTAAGAATGGGGACTTGACTACCTCAAACAGTAGTTGTGGTAAATAGCTTTGTTGCATTTAAGAGGAAGCTGGATAAATACAGGAGGAGGTCTCATTGCATAGTCACCTGACTCAGGGTCCCTGCCTCTAAGCCAGAAGTTCCAGGGTTGAGTCCCACTGGGATTAAGTGGTCAAGGAAAATGTGTTTATAAAGCCATGAAACAGGTTGTGTGTCAATCTGTAAATTCTTCCAACACACACTGATGACAGGCTGTAAGAGCAGGAGAGATTCCTGGTCTACCATGTAATGGAAAGAACATTGGAACCTCTGCCATCACTCTCCATAGCTCAAAGCAACAACATGCAGGTAAAAGTATACCTATTGTGGCCACTTGGGCTCTCTGAATGAGCATAACACATAGATAAATAAACACACAAGGGTGAAAGGGATACTGATAGGAGTGGATGGTGATGGAAGAGAGGACTCTCGTGAGGAATATAAAGACCAACATGGGCCAAATGGCCAGTTTCCATGCTGTACATTGTATGTAATTCTACGCACCAACTTTTCAAACCATGTAGAGAATACTAGCAGATTAGCATCAACCATCACACTGACAATCCAGTACAGAGCAGTGCTCCCTCACCTGGGAACGTCGGACTACTGCTGGCATTTCCTGCAACATTGGCACTCTGTCCTTCCACATCTTTCTGCCGTGGCTCCAACTGGCTTGACTGATCCTGGACTGGCGTCACTGTCTGTACCCCCTGGTGTCTGTGAGTCACCTCCATGTCGTCCTCAAGGGGTGTGGCAAACTTGTGAGTGTCCATAAGCGCGGAGAACCTGCGGCGTACGGTGAGAGGGGGACTGGAGTCACTTTCGCCATAAGAAGACTCAGACGCAGAGAGGCGCTTCCTGAAAACAGCACAGATCAGAGAAAAGGTTGGGGGTGGGAGGAGGGGTGAGGGGGGCATCAGAGAAAAAGTAGACCTCAGCACACTAAGGCAGTATCACAACCCCCTCCCTGTCCTTCCACATAGTCATCCCAGACATTATCCCAATTCAACCACCTTAAACCAAAAAGTTGACTCAGTAGGTCAGGCAGCCTCTCAATGGACACCCAACCACAGGAGAAGTCATTAGGCCCAATTAGCCAAATTCTTGATCAAGGCAGCAGCACCTTAAAGGAGGAGAGATGGGTAGAGAGATCTGGGGAAGAAACCCCAGAGCCTGGTGCTGAGAGATATCTGCCTGTCATATGTGACGGAAGTGGGAAATGTACAAAAGCTTGAATTTGGAGGATGTTAAAAGTCTTGGAGGGTTGCAGGACAGGATGAGGTTATAGAGACAGCGAGGGATTTGAATTTGAAGATAAGAATTTTAACACAAGGAGCACAGTGTATAGGCCAGTATTCCTGAGGTTTAAGAGGAGAGGAAACTCCAGAGCAACTGCCGTACTTACATTTCTGGAGAGCTTGTCCTCCAACTCTTGTCCCGGGTGCTGATGGAGCTCAGCCCCTCCATCTTCTCACTCTTTTCCTCCTTGTGTTTGTTTAGGTTGCGTCGAGTGACCACTGGGGCTTTCTGCTCCTCATGCTGCGTAAGGCGTTCCATGCTGCTGTAAACCTGCACACATCGCAACCCAACATTAGCGCAAGCACCACTCACTGCCTCTGGCTGCACAGGCAGAACGGTGAGGTACAGGAGGGCCCGAGGCATCCAGTCAACTATACCCCAAGATCCACAGGCAGGAGGACCGGATGGGGAGAAAGGAATTTCTCAAGCTTTTAGAATCAACATTGCTAAAACAGGTCATTGTCACAAAGCTGTTTGTGGAAGCTTGCTTCGTACAAAATAAAAACCGAAAGAACTGCAGATGCTGTAAATTGATAACAAAAATTGAAATTGCTGGAAAAGCTCAGCAGGTCTGGCAGCATCTGTGGAGAGAAATCAGATTTAACGTTTCGGGTCGAGTGACTTTTCCTCAGAAGGGTCTGTTCTAAGGAAGGGTCATTTGACCTAAAACGTTAACTCTAATTTCTTTTCTATGGAAAGAAATTACAGTTAACATTTTAGGTCAAATGACCCTTCCTTAGAACAGACCCTTCTGAGGAAAAGTCACTCGACCCGAAACGTTAAATCTGATTTCTCTCCACAGATGATGCCAGACCTGCTGAGCTTTTCCAGCAATTTCAATTTTTCTTGCTGTGTACAACTTGGCTTCTGCAACTCCAACATTATAGAAGTAACTACACTTCAGAAGAAACTTCATTGGCTGTAAAGTGGCACTGAGGTTGTGAAGGTTCTATGTAAATGCAAGCCTTTCTCCCAAGGGGAGATTTACGCTGAAGCATAGGCTCAGGCCTCTAAAGGCTTCTGCTTGAGATTGTACCTTCTTGGCCTCTGATTTTTCTAACTGTTGACTTTAATGGTCTTAAATATTACAACAAACAAGACCACGAATCTTTAATATAACAAGATATTCCTAATTGCTTCTGTGGGAATGTTTTGCACAGAGGAGATATTAGATATTAGATATTAAACTTGAGTGAAGAAAGTGAATTTTAAAAAGTATTTTTAAGGAGGAGGTGAGTTCCAGGGTTAAAGATCCCACTGAAGGCATGCCCCTGCTAAGGGCAAAACCATCGAAGTTGGAGATGCACAAGATGCCAAACTGGAGGAACAGTGATATCTCGGGGTTGTGGCGCTGCAGGACATTACAGTAATAGGAGGGAATAAATCAACAAAGAATGGATTTCAGAATTTCAGAGGAGTTTGAAGTTTATGGAGGTGGCTGATGCAGAATTTCCGACCGTGCTAGCATGGAGCTGTCTGAAGGAATACTGTTTCTATATTCCCGCATTTTACGTGCGAGAGTCAGCCAGAGCTGGAATGATTTCCCCTCCACTTTATCCTGTAGTAATATTGGAGACCTGTAGGTGTCACTGCACATCCTCAAAAACTCCACGAAGTAAAATACAAACCATATAGTAAGCTATGAAGGACGGAATAATGGTAGACTCAACCTGTTAAGTCCTTCTTTCTAATGCAGCATGCACATAATAATACCACTGATCCCTCTGAGATTTTTAAAAGGGTGCACTTTTTGTTCAAAATATTACTCAGACGTACACATTTGGGAAGAAAGTCACTGGAAAATTCATGTTACAGAATTAATGTTATCTTAAATTTTTAGGCATTGTGTGTCTATTTCTTTCTACAGGACGCCCAGTGAGCTCTTGGTTTATGTAGTTTGCCAGTCGCTTGTCACCCAGGGTTGGAAAATTGCAGATTGCCATGTGTCCCGAGGTTGAACCCTCATTAAAATCAAGGAGAGGTCTTGTGGGGCATTGGGTAGCAATCCACGCCTCTGGACCAGAAACTCTGTGTTCAAGTCTAAAACCAGGGCTTGATGGCCGTGGAGGGTACATACATAACAGGTTAATTGTCAATCTGTAAAATCCTCATGATACACCTAAGGCAAGTGTTAACAGCAGGAGTGTTTCCTAGTCAGCCAGAACCGTGTCCCATAAAGGTCTGAGCACCGCTCCCGCACCCCACACCCCACCACCTCCATTAAAATAAGCTCTGTGTCAAATTACCTCCTCACCTCAAAGAGATATTAGTGAGTGAATGATGAAACTCAATGAGTCGGGGCAGTTTCAGGAGAAAGCCTTTAAAGGTGCTGACCAGACCTATTACTATTTGGCCTTGTAATTTTTCCGCAGGGGTCCCTGTACAAAATAGATGGAAAAAGTCACAGGGAAGGGGAAAAGAGACTCACATTGTCCAAAGTACCTTAATAAAGCGAGGCGAGCAGGAGGAAAACTGTCGAATTTCCACTGGTTCGTCTTCATTGGTGTCATCCTCATCGTAAGAATTGACATGGTGGTATCGATCAGAGCGAGCTTCACAGAGACAGAGTGGCATCATTTCAGAATCACAGTGAAGTTGTGAAATCCCACAATTTCCACCCATTTACCCAACTCTCCATGGCTTTGTGCTCAATGTTCTTTCTGATTGTGATTGTCCTGGACTACAATCCACCCAGCACCCTAGCACTACCCACTCAGTCTGTATTTACTGCTACATACAAACTGATAAAGTAGGAGACAACAAGGTGCAGGGCTGGATGAACACAGCAGGCCAAGCAGCATCATAGGAGCAGAGAGGCTGACGTTTCGGGCCTAGACCCTTCATCAGAAAAGGGGGAGGGGAAGGGGGTTTTTAAATAAATAGGGAGAGAGTGGGAGGCGGATAGAAGAGGGATAGAGGAGAGGATAGGTGGAGAGGAAACAAACAGGTCGAAGAGGTGGGGATGGAGCCAGTAAAGGTGAATGTAGGTAGGGAGTTAGGAAGGGGATAGGTCAGTCCAGGGAGGATGGACAGGTCAAGGGGGTGGGATGAGGTTGGGCGGTAGGAGATGGAGGTGCGGCTTGAGGTGGGAGGAGGGGATAGGTGGGAGGAAGAACAGGTTAGGGAGGCAGGGACGAGCTGGACTGGTTTTGGGATGCGGTAGGGGGAGGGGAGATTTTGAAACTTGTGAAATCCACATTGATACCATTGGGCTGCAGGGTTCCCAAGCGGAATATGAGTTGCTGTTCCTGCAACCTTCGGGTGGCATCGTTGTGGCACTGCAGGAGGCCCAGGATGGACATGTCGTCTGAGGAATGGGAGGGGGAGTTGAAATGGTTCGCGACTGGGAGGTGCAGTTGTTTGTTGCGAACCGAGCGTAAGTGTTCTGCAAAGCGGTCCCCGAGTCTCCGCTTGGTTTCCCCGATGT